AAAAAAAAAAAAGAAGAAGTGCAAGCATGGATGGGCGAATGAATATATGACCAGACAAATGCATGCTTCATACACGCATGCACATTCGCATCACAACATCACCTTCTACAGATGAGCACGCTAACAACTGCAAAATAGCACAGTGCTAACAAATGCATTTAAAAAAAAAAAATTGTGTCTTTTCACGGTGAATGAGGTGGCTTTTGACAGTTCGCGGGGGGTGACATGAGAGCCGCGTGGGAGCATGGAGGTCAGAGGGCGTGTTTGGGTGTGAGGGGAAACCGCGGGGTTAACGTAATGTGCGGCTGTCCTCTTTTTTGATGGGAAATTTTTCATGCATGGTGTATTTGTGTGGTGTGTGTGTGCTTTTTGGAGGCAGCTGAGGCCTGGTGTCACTGTTGGGTCGGGGTCGCTGGACATAGACGATGTGTTTCTGTTGTGGTCGTGCATGTGATGTGTGCCTGGCAGTCGGGGGGTATTTGGTGTAGGCAAAATTGAGCTGTCCTGCATGGCCCCCCCCCACCCGAAGGCAAGTCTTCCATTCCCGTAACCCCCATCCCCAATCCAACCCATTCCTCCATCAGCTGCACAAGGGGGGCTGCCGATGGTTCTGCTGGTGGCTGCGGGGCTCATAGGCTGTGGCCTTCCCACACCCCCCCCCCCCCCGTTCATTCACACTCTGCCACTCTTTTATACACTCCACCACTACACTCTGATTGGGGGCGCAATTCTTTCCCTCTTCAGTTATCATCTTTTACCTTTGACAGGTTACTGCTTTCTAACTGTGTTGTATACTGCCCGTGATAGGGAGGTCTCTAAATGGGAAAGAGATACAGAGCAGATAGAAGATAGTGTATTGGTCACTTATGTTCACTACGGTGACGATAGAATTTGTGTTGTAAATCTTTTCAGCATTTGGTTACTTTCTAGATATTATTTTAGTTTTTTATTCGCGTTCGTTTTAAGATACTCTTTGCTATTAAAAAGTGCTAAATAGGAATAATTGCCAATGTTTTTTTCTGACTGTTATTTTCTGAAAATTACCTAAGTCTTGACTAACTTTAGGATTTACTATGGCGATGTACAAATACGTAATAGACATTAGCATTGAAAAATGTATGATTGAAGTTTATTGTTGTAAAATCATAAGTCAATAAAACAAAGAAGCCTGGTGGCCTTTTAAAAAAAAAAAAAAGGCACTGCACTCAGAGAGGAAAAGCGGTACTAAGCATAAGTGTCTAGTTGAAGTGGTCTGAGATGGACGTTGGCTAGGCATTCGTGGAGTGGTTGGTTGGGGATTTGGGGGTGTGTATGGGGTGGGTTGTGTGCAGTGGCCTTGTAAGAGCGCCCCAGACCTGAGTTTGCCCAACCCCAGGCGACCATTGAAATGTGCAGTCCAGGTAACAGGTCTTGGAAGGCTTTTTAAACAGGGGGCCCAAGCCCCACACCCTGTGCTGTAACTTTCATCCCATTCCTGGTGGCGGTCCTGCAGTCTCTTCGGAGGAATAGAGAGACGTATAATGGAGTTTTTTTC